AGGAGGCCCAGGGGTCGCTCTGAGTGTTTAGAAATACACAATCGCTGTGAGGTCCTCTCCCTAGCATGGAAGACGAAGAGCAGACTCCATTTGAGGATCTCTCATCATTACAGTCGATCAGGTATATGAAGACGAGCAGCAAAGTCAGTCCTCAGGGAATGTGCAGGCGACCTTGGAACGGACAGCTCACGGAAGAACCCCGACCAAACCTAAGAGGAGGCGTGTAGTGGTGATAGGGGATTCCCTACTGAGGGGAACAGAAGCAGTGATCTGTGGGCCTGACAAGATGTCTCGGGAAGTGTGCTGTCTCCCTGGGGCTAAGATCCAAGATGTAACTGAACGACTGCAAGGAATCATAAAACCCACTGACAAATACCCTTTCCTCTTGGTTCATGTGGGAACCAATGACACTGCAAGCAATAGCCTCCAGAAGATCAAAAGAGACTACGAGGCTCTGGGCAGGAAATTGAAGCAATTAAATGCACAAATTGTCATCTCATCCGTCCTCCCAGTTGAACGACGTGGCCCAGGGAGAGAGGGAAAAATAGTGGAAGTGAACAGCTGGCTTCGCAAATGGTGTAAACAGGAACGGTTTGGATTCTTAGATCACGGACTGCAGTTTCTTGAAGATGGACTTCTGGCAAGCGATGGGCTGCACCTCACAACGGTTGGGAGGAATGTTTTTGCCAAAAATCTCAGAAACCTCATCAGGAGGGCTTTAAACTGACTAATGTGGGGGAGGGAGACAGTGCTCCTGAAGGTAGGAGTCTATCAACTGATGAAGATGATCATCCAAATGTCATAGACCAAATGGAGCAAACAGCACGCAGACCTAGTGGTGGGAGGAAAAAATCCTTAAATAAGAGACACGGGGGGATGATTAATGGACTTCAATGTCTGTACACTAATGCGCAAAGCATGGGAAATAAACAAGATGAGCTTGAGCTCTTGGTACAGCAAACTAAATATGACATAATAGGCATCACTGAAACCTGGTGGGATAAGTCCCACGATTGGAATGTAATAATGGAGGGATACAATCTATTTCAGAGAAACAGACCAGACAAGAAAGGAGGAGGAGTGGCGTTATATGTCAGGGATGTGTATACCTGTGAAGAGATCCAAGATTTAGAACCTCAAAGCCAAATTGAGAGCATTTGGGTCAAAATTAAGGGAGAGAAGAATAACAGTGACCTCATTGTGGGAGTTTACTATAGATCCCCAAGCCAAACGGAGGACATAGATGATGCCTTCCTGGAACAGATGGCCAAGCATGCAAAAGGAAGGGAGATAGTAGTAATGGGGGACTTCAATTACCCAGATATTTGTTGGATGTCAAACTCAGCCAAGAGCATAAGGTCAAACAGATTCCTCACTGGCCTTGCAGACAACTTCATTGTCCAGAAAGTGGGAGAAGCAACAAGAGGAACAGCCATTTTAGATCTGGTCCTAACCGATGTTGATGACCTGGTTAGTGGGGTAGAAGTGGAAGGATCATTAGGCGTGAGTGATCATGCTCTTCCGAAGTTTACTATACAGCGGAAAGGAGCAGCCAAGCATACTAGGACTCAATTTCTTGACTTTAAGAAAGCCGACTTCATAAAACTTAGGGAAATGCTGGGTGAGATCCCATTGACAGTAATACTAAAAGGAAAGGGAGTTCATGATGGCTGGGAGTTTGTTAAGAGGGAGATAGTAAAAGCACAACTTCAGGCATTACCAATGAGACGGAAACATGGAAGGTGCCTAAAGAAGCCAGGGTGGCTATCTAAAGAACTTTTAACTGAGTTAAGATTTAAAAAGGATGTGTACAAAAACTGGAAAAGGGGGAAACCACCAAAGAGGAATTCAAACAAATAGCCAGCACGTGTAGACACAAAGTCAGAAAAGCTAAAGTACAGAATGAACTCAGGCTTGCTAGAGAGGTTAAAAGCAACAAAAAGGCTTTTATGGGTATGTTCGTAGCAAAAGGAAGAACAAAGAAACAGTGGGGTCACTCAGAGGAGAAGATGGTGAAATGCAAACAGGGGACACAGAAAGGGCTGAACTCCTCAATGCCTTCTTTGCCTCAGTCTTCTCCGATAAAGAAAACAATGCCCGACCTGAAGAATTTGGAGCAAATGATTCAGCAGAGGAAACACAGCCCAGAATAACTAAGGAGACAGTACAAGAGTACTTGGCTAGTCTAGATGTATTCAAGTCTCCAGGGCCAGATGAACTGCATCCAAGAGTATTAAAAGAACTGGCAGATGTGATCTCAGAACCACTGGCAGTCATCTTTGAGAATTCCTGCAGAACAGGCGAAGTCCCAGCAGATTGGAGGAGGGCAAATGTTGTTCCTATTTTCAAAAAGGGAAAAAGAGAGGACCCAAATAATTACCGCCCAGTCAGTCTGACATCAATACCAGGGAAGATTCTGGAGCAGATCATTAAGCAAACAGTCTGTGAGCACCTAGAAAGGAATGCTGTGATCACCAATAGTCAGCATGGATTTCTGAAAAATAAGTCATGTCAGACTAACCTGATCTCGTTTTTGACAGAATTACAAGCCTGGTAGATGAAGGGAACGCAGTGGATGTAGCCTACCTTGATTTCAGCAAGGCATTTGACAAGGTGCCCCATGATATTCTTGTAAAGAAGCTGGTAAAATGCAGTCTTAACTATGCTACCACTCAGTGGATTTGTAACTGGCTGACTGACCGAACCCAAAGGGTGCTCATCAATGGTTCCTCTTCATCCTGGAGTAGAGTGACTAGTGGGGTGCCACAGGGTTCTGTCTTGGGCCTGGTCTTATTCAACATCTTTATCAACGACTTGGATGATGGACTCAAGGGCATCCTGATCAAATTTGCAGATGACACCAAACTGGGAGGGGTGGCTAACACCCCAGAGGACAGGATCACACTTCAAAACAACCTTGACAGATTAGAGAACTGGGCCAAAACAAACAAGATGAATTTAACGGGGAGAAATGTAAAGTATTGCACTTGGGCAAAAAAAATGAGAGGCACAAATACAAGATGGGTGACACCTGGCTTGAGAGCAGTACATGTGAAAAGGATCTAGGAGTCTTGGTTGACCACAAACTTGACATGAGCCAACAGTGTGACGCGGCAGCTAAAAAGCCAATGCAATTCTGGGCTGCATCAATAGGAGTATAGCATCTAGATCAAGGGAAGTAATAGTGCCACTGTATTCTGCTCTGGTCAGACCTCACCTGGAGTACTGTGTCCAGTTCTGGGCACCACAGTTCAAGAAGGACACTGACAAACTGGAACGTGTCCAGAGGAGGGCAACCAAAATGGTCAAAGGCCTGAAAATGATGCCTTATGAGGAACGGCTAAGGGAGCTGGGCATGTTTAGCCTGGAGAAGAGGAGGTTAAGGGGTGATATGATAGCCATGTTCAAATATATAAAAGGATGTCACATAGAGGAGGGAGAAAGGTTGTTTTCTGCTGCTCCAGAGAAGCGGACATGGAGCAATGGATCCAAACTACAAGAAAGAAGATTCCACCTAAACATTAGGAAGAACTTCCTGACAGTAAGAGCTGTTCGACAGTGGAATTTGCTGCCAAGGAGTGTGGTGGAGTCTCCTTCTTTGGAGGTCTTTAAGCAGAGGCTTGACAACCATATGTCAGGAGTGCTCTGATGGTGTTTCCTGCTTGGCAGGGGGTTGGACTCGATGGCCCTTGTGGTCTCTTCCAACTCTATGATTCTATTTCAGATACAATTGGTGTTTCCACACTATTTTTCCACACCATGGTTATGAAATATCTTTATATGTCATCTTTTTTGCCTCTAAGAAGGGTAGCAGTTATTAAAAGCAATATGAAAATCAGTACAATAAGAAATGAAAAACCGAATGAAAAAGCAACAACATTTGAAATAACTGCTTTTACCACAGAAGTAGCTGCCAGTCAACACAGCCTCATGAGAATGACAACATTGCTACCAGGTACCTGAAGGATGGTCAGGTCAGCACTATTAGAGTGTCTGTGGTAAAGGTGCTGGCATAGGTGCCAACACAGAGAAGGCCTTGTTGCTGAACACATGCCACACAGCCTCTGAATGTAAGGATATCTCAATTAGAGCATCTGTGGCTGATTTTAGAAAGAGGAGGAGTCAGCACTTCAGAAATATTGGTCCCAAGCTGTTTAGGACTTTATGTCAATGCCAACACATGAAATTGTATTGCCTAATAGAACCTTCCCCTCCCCAAGCTGTCCAGCTCCCCAGAGCAGATTTGGGGCTGAGCAGTATGTACATAGGGGGAGGAGAGATGGGGATTCCCATTGTGCTAGAGGGAATCTTTGCACTGGTGTCTGCTAGTGCAACAGGTTCGCTGAATATGGCCCAGCATGGAAATCAGTGGAGATCTTTTAACTTAGGCAAGATATGGTCAGACCTGAGTCCCAGTTACCAGGTGGCTGCTGTGTTCCAAAACAAGTGAAGTTTCTGAAAAGTTTTCAAAGGCAGCCCTGCGTATATTGCATTGCATAAATCGAACACAAGTGTTGTTAGGGCATGGAGCACTGTGGCGAGGCTGCCTCTGTTTTCATGTGGCTTCTGTTGGCATACCAACCTAAGCTGATTAAAGGCACTTCATGCCTCTGATGCCAGCTGGACATTCAGAGTGAGATCCAGGTCTAATAGCACCTCCAAGCTGCATATCCATCCAGAATAGGTTGTTCACCATCTGCTTGGCCAATGGAAATGTCTACAAATAGTACCTCCATCTTGTCTGAATTAATCTTCAGTTTATGAGGCCTTATCCAGCCAATTACTGACTCTAGGCAGCCATTTCCACTGTCTCTCCTAGAGCAAACAAATAAGAGAAATAGAGCTTCATGTCATCAGCATATTGATAGCCGTTTGCTACAAAGCTCACCATGACCTCTGACAGCAGTTTGATGTAGAAATTAAATAGCATGGGAGACTAAATGGAGCTCTGAACCCCACCCCACCCCACCGCCTAGCCCAGGCATGGCCAAACTTGGCCCTCCAGCTGTTTTGGGACTACACTTCCTATCATCTCTTGACCACTGGTCCTGTTATCTAGGGAGGATAGGCATTGTAGTCCCAAAATAGCTGGAGGGTCAAGTTTGGCCATGCCTGAACTAGCCCAGTGGCATAAAAGGCATGGTGCAGAACTAAACTCTATTCTTCCTTACAGCATCCCTTCTGGAACTTACCTGTCAGGTAAGAGGGGACTCACTAGAGCATGATGGCTCCTATTCACACCCCAGAAGGTTACCATGATTAATAGCACTGAAAATCACTGAGAGGACCTGGATAATCTGTGGGAGAGAAAGGTTTGGGGAAGAAAGATCCTTACTCTCTCATAACAGAGATAAGCACAGTTGCCCTAAGCACATTAAAACTTGGTTAGATTTACTTCTGCCCACATCCACCTTTAAACTCTGCCTTATTCAAAGTCAGAATATTTGTCCATCTAGCCTAGGACCAGCCCTATCATTAGGCAGAATGAAGTGGTTGCTAATTTTGTGTGCTCTGAAAGGGAAGCAAATGGGTAATTTATTAATATTGTATTGTTTATTCCCAAGGAGAGGCAATTGTGTGGGGCTTTCTACTTCAGATGCCAAAATAACTTGGCCAGCCTTTGATACTATGCACCTTGAGTCGAGGATAGGCACCACTTGCTCTTCTGTGTTAGGCAGCAAAATGTCTTGGTCACCCCTGATGTAGCTCAGCATTATCCTGCTCTTCAGGGTATGAAGTGAAGGTCCTTCCCATCAAGGATTGAATCTGGGGTCTTTAGCACAGAAAACAATTCCTCTGCCACTTACCTATGGTCCCTTCCCAACCAGATTGATCATGGCAGCTGTTGTTCCAAAAATCACATTTGCTGAACGTCAATATTTCAAATCTGCAGTGGCTTAATGTGGAGACATCAGTTGGTGAATTCAAGAGCATGAGAATCCAGTGAACACATTTCCTTTCACGCAATCGCCATCTGGCCTCAAAGAACATGGAATTCATGCTCAACACACAAGAGTCCAAGGTAGAGAAGGGGAATCAACCCAGAGGTGAATTTGTGACACATGGATGTACATTAAAACTCCGCCTGCTTTGCATGTTTGTACTCTTTACCTAAAGTGGCCAGAGGGGCATGTTAAGAGCCCATTCCGAACTGCTTCTTGCAACATTGGTGGCTGTGTAAGCTGGACAGTCTGCAGTGCTTAATTCCCAGGCGGGACATGAAGATGAATTTTGTGTAACACATTTGCAGCTGCACTATGGCTGATGTGTGCCTGCTTTATGTTGTAATATATTACTGGTTTTGCTGTACTGAAGGATTGTAGGGACCGTTCTGATGGCCATTCTGATTCAAGCAAACCTAATGCAGCCTGCAGAGACTATAATAGAAATTAACATCTGTGTCTTTAAGTGAAACACAGCAGCATCACCTAGCCTTGGGAAATAATTATTCTCTTAAAAGAATAATAAAAAGCCAGTCAGATCAGTGTAGCCATCTGCTAAAGGAGAAACTAGCTCCAAGGGGCTAGATTCTCATCTGGTGTAAATTAGTGGCAGCAGGATGGGCTTGGTGTGCTAATGGAGGATTATATCCTTGCATTTGAGAGAGATGATTGGCATAGGAGTTTTCTACATAACTGGTCTGCAGCGTTCTTGACTTGTTCAGTGGTGCACATGTTTATAATCCCCGCTTGCTGTTTCATATGCCTGTATTTTTCACCTGCCATCTGTGGCTCTTTGGCCATGCTCTTCGTGCTAACCCTGTGAAGCAAACGCACGTTAATATTGGATCTTTAGATAGCATATTAATGTGCACAGTGAATCCGCATCTTGCATGCTTTAGCAACCACCCGTAGGGATAGGCTTATCCCCATTTTACAAGATGGGGAACTGATACTGAGAAGATAGCAAGGAGCTAGCCCAATCCCTTCCCCAAGGAGCCCATCGCTGAGCAAGTTATATGTATCCATGACTCCCACGTCCAACTACTCCCCCCCACTCAGCCCACATGGCCGAATAAGAGCTGAAAGGGAGGAGAATGAAATCTAATGCATGTCTCGTGCAGGGTCAATTGCAAATCACCAGAGACCTTTAGGGGTCTGCTGTTTATGGTGAGAGTTTGATGGGTATTTTTAGTGACAGGCTCAGCTCAGTATAGATATACACACCAAGGGAGAGTTGACCCAGATCACAATTTGTAAGGATTGCATTTGGGTAATCAAGACTGATGTGTGGTATTTTTCCTACATAGACCCTGTACACGTAGGGAAAAGAAACGGTTACCTGTTGTGCAGGATGTACACATGGTTTAAAGCTCTAAGGCACAGTCATTTCCCAGTGCATGCATGAGGAGCAAATCAGACTCTTGCACAGTTTTCACACCTAACCTCATTGGGGGGAAAATGTTATATGTACTGTACCTTTTGGGTCTGAAATGAGTCAAGATTGTATATTAGCTCAGATAGATACATGATGGAGAATCAAGGCTTTGAGTTACACAAATCTCTTGCTTAGGCAGACAAGTTCTGTCCTGCAAAATTCCCAATACATTTGTCACCTAAATGGTTTTGGATCCTAGCTGCCTTTTGTAAGAGTTAATGTTGATAATCTGTCATAAACACCATATATGACCAAATAAGGAATCCAGACCAGAATGAACAAGTATACACGCTAAGAGGCATTTCTCTCTCCCTTTCTTTTATTTGGGTGCCAAGATGTTGTTTGGATACCCACTGTTAGGGAGACACCCTCTAGTCTAGTCCGTCCCGTAGCTTGTTTTTATTCAATCTTTGAAGGACAGGAGTGATAGGCAGCTTTTATTTGACGTCCTAGATAATGACATGTATGAACCTTTGGAATAATGACAGCTGAATAGTGTGCCTGATATTGCCATGGTTACCAGCCAAGCTTTCTCCCCCCTCTCTCCCCCCCACCTTCTCCTTCTCCCCTTCTGACATTTTCTGTGTGTGTGTTATTGTTGAGTTCGCTTTTGGGATAGTGAAGGGGAGGGGAGCCAGGAGAAGAAACAGTCCATTATAGTCTTTTAAATCTCCCAGCTGGAAGTGTTTTAAATCTCAGCAGAGACAGGGAAAAACACTGTCTTAATCCCCAGCTCCCTGTGAATTATTTAAAGTGATCTTGTCGGAACAATGCATTTGTCACTGTTACAGTGTCAACAGTAGAGGCAGCTGTCCGAATGGCTCTAGGGTTTTGCCACAGGTAGGAGTTTGGGGTGGGGCATTTGCAGGCCTGGCAAAAGGCAAACATGGGATTGCTGAGGTCCACAGAACTCTAGAGGCTGATCTTTTTTTGCAAGGGGGGTGGGGAAATCTTTGTACCAGTAACATGGTTTATTTTGTACAGTTTGGCCTACCATTCTCTTCTGGAGACCTCTGGCTGTGCCTGCACCGGTGGCTGTGTTTAAAGTTCCACCCACACCATATATTTAAAGCACTCTTATACCACTTGGAACAGTCATGGCTTTCCCCCAGCGAATCCTGGGAACTGTAGTTTGTGAAGGGTGTTAGGAATGAGAGTTCTGAGGGTGTCCCAACAACTCTAAGCACGCTCAATGAACTACAGTTTCCAGGATTCTTTGGGGGAAGCCATTACTGTCAACGTGGTGCTTTAAATGTATGGTGTGAATGTGACTGTAGTCAAGGGAAGAACGGATAGGCGGGCAGACTAGTTATGCATCTGGGGTGGACACCCAGTGCTGCACATCTTGGGTGCACTGTAATTCACCTCTGGATTTGCATTTAGTTATCCACTTTCATCATTGCAAAATTCAGGTTCTATTCAATCCTCAAACATGACTTCTCCTCCCACTCCAGCTATTATCACATATCATTCTCCCCCCCTTCATCGCACCACTGAGTTCTTGAAGTGAACTGCGTGCATTTGATGTCTCATTTTTTTGTAACCTCTCTTTTCTAGATTCTTTTCAATTTGGATTCTGTCCTCTCCACTTTACTCAAGCAACTGCGCAAAAATTATTGACAATCTCCCAGTTGCTCAGCCTGAGGGGCTTTATTGTGGCCTCATTTGATATGACCGCACTTCCGACGTTAACACTTTTGTCCACTCTGACTTTTCCAATCTTCATCAGGACTTTTTCAAATGAATGTTTCAAAGTTTGATCCCATGCCCTTTCCGATATTCAGTGGAACATCTCAATAACAATTTCGACAGCAGGATGGAAAAAGTCCAGAGCTGTGCTGAAATGAATATATTTTCTTGAACTTACCATGAGTTCCCTTGGGGCCAAACTTCACATCACCTTTAATCACACTCTGCAAACTGGCAGGAAAACCCAGCCAGATGGGTGGGTGTGAATAATAAAAGTATTATTATTAAATTATTATTATCCATTGTCATTTTTGTTTCAAATAAAAAGCAGTTATAGGGCTCTGAGCCTCTTAATCTGGAGTGTACCTGTTTCCTGCTGAAGATCCACCCTGATTGCAGTTTGCTCCTGAAGTTGATGTTTATAGTAAAAACACTTTCTGGGGCAAATAGCAGTCTGGTGTGTGTGTGTGTGTGTGTGTGTGTGTGTGTGTGTGTGTGTGTTTGTTTGTTGGTGGGGCACAGGCACACAGCCTTCATCCAAATCATGGTTCTATTGCTGCTTTTCCTTCTAAACAAAAGTGGTAGCATTTAACATGCATTTTTAAAAAACACGGTTTTTTGGTGTGGCTCTGAAGTACTTGTAGATAAATGAATTTATTTCAGAAAATCAGTTCCAGTGGAATTTGCAAAGAACGTTACCAAAATAATGAAGGGGCAAAAGACACAATAGGAAACAAGTGGCAGGCTGGTGTGCGTATCTCTGCGTAGGGGCACTAGCCTGCTGCTTGAAATGCTAATCTGATGTTTCCTTGTGGTATTTATTCCTGATGCCATCAGTCTTCCACTTACAGTAGAATGCCAGGGGAGGGTATTTCGTTCACTGGGTGGGTGTAGTGACCTGATCTATTTTTTTGGGTCTGCTCTGTCCATTCTGATTTATTTTTTTATTTGAGTCTAAATCTGATACGTTAAATTCAAACCTCTATTTCACCCACATCTAGTATAATGCGGAATCTATGGCTATAACTTGTTCTCCCTTATCACATAAGTGGATGTAACTTGCAAGCAAAGTTTGCACCGTGGTTTGAACATGCCCAGGTTCAGGCAGATCAGTCCTTTAGAGGGAACCCTTTGAGGGTTCATCAACATTGACATTTTTTTCTAGAAAAAGAGGTGCCGGAATTCAACACAAACACCTCCCTTGTTCTCTTATAATGGTAATGGTGCCTACGTGAGGGGTGCTGGAACTGAGTTCCAGTGCGTTTTGGCTGGAAAAAAAGCCCTGTATCTATTTGAGTTTATTACATTCGGACAGCATTGGATACGGTCACCCATTCTGAGGGGATGAATCCTTTCAGATTTCAGACTGATATGTACAGCAATTCTCCAGCAAGAGCAGACCTTACCATTTTGTACTATGCAAAAAAACTGTTCTTGTAAGCCTGCCACATCAAGTAGGGAGCATGTTGGCAGCAAATATGCAGGAGTTGGGATTTAGAGTAAAGAGAAGTGATTTGCCATTTACTTCCCATCATCCTGGGGTCTAACGTGAGGGGAATTGTGTTTGGGGATATTACCAGGTATACACTATTTGAGCACAGGTTTGCCTCCCCAAAAGACTCTCTAACCTGTGAGGGGGAAATACTCATGAATGCGTTTTCTGAACCCAGCCAATTCCCCCCCCAATAAATAATAACATGCTACAATTTAAAGGGTGGCCTGGAAAACTCTATCCAAGGCTGACCTTACAGTGAAGCAGAGTGAGGCAATATCCTTAGGCAGCTGCTCTGAGGTGTCATGAATGACCAACAAGTTAGTAGGTTACTGAATTTATTATTATTGTCTTTTACTCCCAGGAAGAAGGGCTTTTAAGATTTTGTGCCTCATGTGCCAAAGAAACTTGGGCAGCCTTGGTAATTATGTACCTTGACTTCTGTGGGAGCGGGAGCCCTTTACTTCTTCCCCTCAGGAAGTAAAATATCACTGTCTGGCCCTGTGCCAAATAGACAAATGACCTTCTGAGTTCAAATGCAATTTTTCTGTGTGCATCCAGATGAGGATGAGGATATACATTTGGAGCACGTTTACGTTTTATTTGCAGTAACAAGTTCTTTAGGGTGGATGAGAGAGGCAAAATTTATTTTATTTAAGTTTTTACAAACTGCTGTATCATAAAAAATATATCACAGTGGCTTACAACAATGTCAAAACATAAAAGCAGACAATAAAATCATAAAAAAATTAAAAGCAAGTTAAAGCAAAAAGAAATCAAAAACAAACAGCAAAAAGTAATTAAAAACAAACATGAAGGACCAAAAAGGAACTGAAAGTTTCTCCTGGTGGATGTTGCAATGAAGTTATATGGTTTTAGCAGAAATGTAATAAAGAATTAAGTAAAAGTTGATTGGTAATGGGCAAAAATGGAAAAATTGAAGGATAGACTGTTAAGATAAATTATAGAACAAAAATTGAGAAAGATGGAAAGAATTTGCTGAAATAGTTAACTGAACTAGAATACAGAAAGGGAGGTGTGAGGAGGTCGAGGAAACAAGTAAATGAAAAGTAAAGATATGGAATATTGGATGTGTTTTTAAATGTTTTTGTTTTTAAACGTTTTTGCTTTTTTGCTTCGATGTACTGATTTTTTTCCCCTTTCTTATTCTGGCTTTCATTTTCTTTTGATGTATTGTCTTGTAACTTTTTACTGTCTTCCTTTTTCTCTTTTTCTGTAATTGTTAAACTTTTAATAAATATCATTTAAAAAAAAAGAAAGAAAGTTTGTCCTGGTTTTCCATTTCTCCTTGTTTAATTTGATCACTGAGCAATTTACAGAGGTAGATTAAGCCAGAAGGCATTGCCTGCCAAATAATCTTGGTGCCTGAGCAAGAGGCATCTGAAACCCCTCCTAAACTCACTTTTAAAGCCACGGCAGCCGGTATAACTAAAAACCCAAGTTATTATCAAAGTCCTAAATTCAGACTATAAAACATTCGTATTTGCTAGCATTTCATTATGATTTGAACAAAAACGATCCAGCTCTGTCACAAGCTATTCTTCAGTGGTGGCATTCCCAAATGATTGTCCTTTGGAAGCGTTTTATAACTTTCCTTGAAATGCTAATTGCACAGACATTTGCATAGCACAAAAGTACCCAAAGTATAAACCAAGACCGTTTTTAGAATGAGATACCAAGGCACATCATTTCTGTGCTTTAGTATTAGTATTCCCAAGGAAATGAATTAGTCTTTTAGCATGGCAGTGCCTTCATTCTTTTGCCGTTTTTGCATTTAACTGTTACCACTCAAGCAGCTCCACTGAGGCTAGAGAGACTGAAATAATGTTTAATGTTAACGTTTGCATAATTATTCTTTGGATGAGTCTCTTGTTTGAGAGCCTAGATTCAGTTGGTAGGTTTCTGGTGTTTCCTGTCCACTTGCCCTCATGATAATGGATTGGAGATAGCCTTGTTACAGTTATCTCCTCTCCCCAAAATAGTTACTTTAAGCTTTTGGAGCTGTTTCTGCTGCTTTTTCCATCGCATTCCATACAGCTGGGTTTTCCCCTACATTTTGCATTTGTACACCCAAAAACCAGGACGTGTCAGGAATTTTCCTGATGTATGGCAAGCCTATCCTGGGTAGACTATTCAGAAACTCAAGCTGGTACAGAATATGGCAGATAGATTAGTAACTAGGATACACAAGACTGATTATAGGGTCACAGTCATAGACCTATCTTAAGGGTACATTGACTGAATGATAGCCTGTCATTTTAAGGAGAAATTGGGAGGACATTTGGGTCTATAGCAAATACTAGGTTTTTCTACCTCACAGATTCGTTATGAGGACAAAATGAGGAGGCCAACTTGAGCTCCTTGGAGTAAACATGGGGTATTAATGTCATAACAAATAAGCAAATTGTCAAACTTTATGTTAGAATGCCAAAAAAGGGGGAGCCTTGCCATATATATATATGAATCACATCCTCCTTTTATAACCATAAACTGTGGCATAGGAAAAGCATCTTAGCACATGTCTAAACTTCTGGAAGGTTCTGTTCATAGGCCTCAACAGCTGCAATTTCCAGGCATTCTGGAGCTTGAGCGAATGTGGATAGACATGTTGAACCAAAAGGGTTTTTTTGTTGCTGCTGTTGTTAACTGCTGATTTTTCACCCAGGTAAAAAAAATTCTTTCGGCTTCAAGGGCTTTTTTGGGCACCACTCAGGATATTGGTTTTGGCTTTCAAGGTCCTGAATGAATGGCTCAGGACCTGAGTGACAAAGGGACAGCTTTCTTCCATATGAATCTGCCTGAAGTCTAAGAACTGCTTCAGGGGCCTTTCTCTGGGTGTCCTTGTAAGAAAAACACTGGGGCCTAATTTGAATAGTAGAATGTCTGCCATCTGGTGGGCGGGGCTTTTGTGTTGTTCTCTGGAATCGGCCCCTCCCTTCATGTGTTAAGTTCAGTTAGAGAGACCAACTGTCATCCTTGCCTCACCATGTTGTTTTAGTTCCTCTTAGATAGTATGTTATTGTGTTACAGTTTTCTTTATTATTAAAGCTTTGCTTGACATATACGTGAGCTGCTAGCTTTGCTGAAAGAAAAGAAACTGTGCTGAAGGATGGTGGAATATCCTAAACTGGGTGAGTGAGAGGATATTCCCAGTCTGACAGGAGGATTGATTTTTTAATCACCTCAACCCTCCACAACAGTGGCTGTGGTGAGGGCCTTTTCTGTGGTGGCGCCCAAGGTGACATTGTTGTAAGCCATGATCGTATAGTGGTTAGTACTCTGCGTTGTGGCTGCAGGAACCTCGGTTCAAATCCGAGTCATGGCACCAAAAGGTTGTAAGCCAGAAAATGGCTTATCTCCTGAGTTTACACCAATAAAACTCAGAAACATGAGGAGTTAGGAGTCCAACATTGTTTATTGCAAAGCAATAGGTTACAGTCAGATCATTTCGCAAAACTGCAACCCCGCCCGGTGGTCCAGGCAGTGGTATTTATAAAATTTCAAACAAAGCATTTCAATTTCCACCAATCATATACATCGTTACCTCATTTAATACAAAACCGCAATAAGCACTGGCAATTTCTGCCGATTAAGTTCTGATTCTCACCGTGTTCTGTTACATTGTGTTAGTGTACATGTTGGGAACCTGTGTTACGTGTAGCCATTTGCACCATGTAGCAACTTATGCTCTAGCTTTGAGCTGTATCTTTGTGATTCACATATTAGCTGTATTTCTGCCCCAATGAGGGGTGGCAACTTGCAAAATAACCAGTTTCATAAAGTACCAGGCTACCATAAGTTCTCTATTAGAAGCACACTCAAGGATTTACAGGGGTACACATTGCCACATTTATTGCGGTCTTTGGGGCCACTGCCACAACATCCTTGGGCAGCTGTCAAGATCCCACTACTGCTGACATCCCTGAGTGTCCGCTGACTGCTGAGTGTCATGTGAGCATTAGAAAAGCCCTGAATAATGCTATATAGTATGGCTTGGCGCATGTGGGCAGTTTCAGCGGCAGCCATTTGCAACTGCCACCCTCCTCATTCTCACCCCTGCAGCTGGCGGAAATAAACTGGAGAGGGAGCTAAGAGAGAGGACAGGGCTACCTGCCACCTGCTTCAATGGGGGAACCCCCCCATTAACATCTGGGGAAATACCACGGGCCCCTCAAACCTGGAGATGCTATTAGGGGGATAAACAGGTTAGGCCAACCACCACCAACTTGGTGCTCTCCAGATGTTTTGCACTACAACACGTTTTGTAATATCTGCAGGGCACCATGTTGGCAAAGGCTAGGTTATGGACTATCTCCCTGGGGAAGAACTCAGGTGGCTCTAGCATTTTTATCACTTTAGACAACTGGTTAAGCCCTTTTTATTCCCCAAGAATTTAATGGGTGATCTGCGGCTGCTGTTCTTTTATTGTTTTGTTTTTCTGATTTTATTTGATCTTTAGACTGCTTCTCTTTTGGTGCTGCTGATTAAGTTATTTTTATTGCTCACCTGGCGCCTGCTCTGATGTCATTTCAGCACCAGGCAAAGTTCTTTTTTATTTTCCCAGACCTTTTAAAATGTGAAATTTTATTCCCTGAAGATGGTTTCTTATTTTTTAAAAAAGGTTCTATTTTTATCTGCTGCTTTTAATGTTTGAATCTGTTATGGCTTTTGTTTTTGTAACCCACCATGGGAAAGGCTTTTTTTTTTTTTTGAAGAGTGGGTTATAAAGGTTTAAAATAAAACAGAACAAAAATAAATGAATATAAGTACAAATATTGATGTTTTTACTGTTTTACTAGATTTTTTTTTGAAGTGTGAATTAGTTGGGGCACACTTAATAAACATCTTAATACTTTAAATAAATAGTGCAATTCATGCTACCGAATTTGAGAAGAAGTGCCAAGTTATTTAGATTCATAAGATAAATTATTTATTAGGGATGGATTATCAATATTTATTAGAGATAGAAGATCAATGTCAGTGTCTGTATTAATTCCCATCCATTCTACATGTACAATGGTCAGTGTTCTTGTCAGTCTCACAGATACGTTCTACTTGACATGAAATATTTCTTCAGACAAATTACTAGCTATTTACGTAAGGCTACTGGCTGAATGTTCGCTCAATGTCTAGATGAGATTTGATAACAGTTGTGGAACCTTTTTTCTCTGATGTAAAATGTACCAAGAACCCTCTAAAAACACTACAGCTAAAGGCAAATATTTATCTCTGGGCAAACCCCAGATCTTTGGTTTTGGTGGACCCTGTAGGAGGCTGGTATAGTGTGCATTATATTTGCTCTAGGTACTGGTCTGAAATAAAACATTCGTTCAAAACCAACTCTGTGCATGCTCACTTTGACTGGGAGGGGCAGGGGGCAGCATTTTCTGCTCTGCCTCAGGCAGCAATACTTATTTGTCCAGCCCTGCAGGACAACTGCCTACCCTTCTTTCTGTGTGGTTGGGAGGACAGTGTGAAATCCTCATGGAAGTGTTATTTCTATCATTATAATCTCCATCCTTATTTTATTTTAATGCCCCTTTATTGTAATTGTGTTCATTATATCTGATCTGCCACTTGGAAAACTGCAAGTCCCTTTACAAGCACATCATAGCTGTAAGGGAGGCTCTGGCAGATGCGTAATGTTTTGAAGACCAGATTTTGATATTTAAAGAGCATGCCTTATGAGAGGTCAGTGATGAGCCAAGACAAATCAGGAATGGTGCTGGGCAGACTGCAGCCTCATCAAGATCTACCCATATATTTATACCACCCTGCATCCCCACCCCAGTGAATCATACCAAGGAAGTTAGGGAAATAGTATGGTGCCAAATCCTTATTCTTTCCCCAAGGCTGATATTCACACATTATTTGAAGTATGGTCCCTAGGATTAAAAAATACTTGCAATAGATTCTGGATGTGATAAGTTGTCAAATATGAAACAGAATAACAAATTTTATTTAGACAGGCCATTAGGAAAGTTCTGTGTTTAGACAGAAAAATATAAAGTTTAAAAATCAAGTCGTTACTGAGTTTGAGGAGCATATATACCCGAGATATGCAGAATAAATATGCAGAAAACAATCTCTTTACATAATACTGGAAAATAGTCAATAGTCAAAAATACTGTTTTAAAAAAACACTAATCTAGGGAAGGACCTAAACATTACAAACCCATTATCTTAACTTCTATCCCAGTTAAATAGGTAAGAAGCATTATTAACTTTAGAGTCACTAAAGCATTCAGACTTTAAATTTTAAAAAGTTACTAAGGGAAGACATGGTGGAGGTTTATAACATAAAAACTGGAAAGAACATGAACAGCGAAAACTTTTTCTCCTTATCCCATAGTACTAGAACCCAGGGACTTGCAATGAAATTAATGAGCTCATCCATTCATCTTGATACTTCAGCAGGTAAATAAACACATATGCTCATACAAAATTGCTGCACAAAGGCTGGTTCCATTTTAGTGGTGTGCTTGTGCTTCCTAAGAATGCAGTTCTGCAAGGTTTTCTGGGTCCTTTCTTTTGAGTGAATGGCAAATTGTCTATAAATAAGTTATTGCAGCGGGTAGGAAGAATGCCCTTATCAACAGATGCACTTTGCAGAGAATCCAGCATAACAGCTTGTGTATAAATGTACATGCTTTGAAACAATTTTATATTGTTGCACATAGAGGCAGAGATAGTACCTTTTAATGGGATTGTTATCACCACCTAGGAAGGAAGTAAACGGTTGATTGGTGGCTGCATTACAGTTTTGCGAGCCTTTGCTGCTTCTCAGCACTTTATTCTGGAGCTGAAATTTAGTAGGGGAAATACTGTGTGGACTTTTTAAGTGCAGTAATAAGAACTTGAAAACTCCGAAAGCAACCTGAGGTTGCAGGCATGCGCTCTCCTCAGCACAGAATAATCTCCTTTCCCCTTGCCACCACATTAACTTCCGTTGATCTACATGACAGCCTAACATTTTACACCATACAGTTTTGCTTACATATGTAATACTCTCATCTCCATAAAAAAACATTAAAATCCTTCTGATAACGTTCGGCGACACAGCCATTAATTCATGCTTCAGTGGCACTGGAGCACCTTGGAATTATGCATCACATCCAGAGCAGCACTTAAAGGCTGCCATATGAATAATGCTGTTGCAAACAATCAGCCTGTAAACACGGAGCAATTTGGATGGCTTATAAATTGGGCTGCGATATTCTAATTCCATCACAGGCCCGGGCACATTTTCTTCCTGCCCTTTAATTGCCACAGTAGCCAACATTACGGTAATGCCCTTTCATTATTCCACCTGAAAATTGGCACAGTCCCTGTGTCAATTTTGATGGATGTTGCTGCTCAGAAAACTGAGAAGCGGAGAGCCCTGCCTGGAGCAAGTTTTCTCGTATTCATTTCCTATTCCCCAAACTGCATGTGGACCACAGGTTCATCCGCTTTCCCACTTTCCTCATGTGGCTGCACAGATGACCTCCCCCTTCCCTTATTTATGATCATATGACACCCACTCAATATGGTCATTACTGGAGAAGTGTTGCAATAATACAGTTGTGCTTTAGCATGTTAGCAGATGGAGACAAGTAGGTTAGAACGCTTGAATTTCGGGCATGGTGTTTAACAGGTTTGATTTTCACTATTCTGTTTGCAATGAGCTTGTAGTTTAAAGTCCATAAGGTACGCCCCCCCCCCATAGCCATAACCTGAGTGAAGTGATTTTCCACCTTTTTTCCTTGTTGAACTGTGCTGGTTTGGATCACTTTATTCACCACTTCCAAATGGCAGACACATTAGTCTCTTGCAGCAAAAATAGCAAAGAACTGTCTTGCAACACCTTAAAACAGGGAACTCCTTTAAAAAAAAAAAAGCATGAGAAATTTAAGAAACTGTTGTGGACACCACAACGTATTAATTTCACAGAAGAAAAATGGATGATGCTCAGAACCCATGCTAAACAGGCAAACTACCTACACTCCCCTAAAACAAACTGAAGACAAGCTGAAAAAGCAGGCAACACCCCAACCCTATATAGGCAACCCTCAATGAGAAAATAACCACCACAAAAATATAATGGGGGGGGGGAGGGAGAGGCAGGTTTGAGACCAGTAGCAAGGTGTCTAGGAGACTGAAATGTTATGTGGAGGAGGACTGAAATGTTAAATGAGGAGGGCGAGTACCATTTGTACCACTCTTGAGCTCCTTGTGGAGGGGAAATGGGAAATGTCTGGCTATCTGCAGTCAGTTCTCAGATGTTACATTATTTGGGGGACAACATTGACGTCCCGAGGAAATTTCTGTTTCATCCTGTGGCCTTTGGCATAACAGGGTGCCAAGGTTTCATCTCTCTCCCACCTTCTCAGTTTTTATCATCCACAGCCACTGATCTTCAACTGGTGGGTTGGGATCCTAGTGGGTCACAGCCTGATCCAAGGTGGAAATATATTGCAAATATATGCTTCAAGAAAAGGGTTCCCGAATGCACGTTAGTGTTAAAAGTGGGTGCTGGGTCTGAAAAGGTTGAAGATAGTTGATATATACATGAAGCCACTGGGGAACAGTGTCAGCAACATACCTGCAAATCCCAGAGAGGCTGTGGAATTTCTAAACACATGTCTAAAGGGTAGTTTTGGGATGGATGAAAGTGAGCAAACTGAAGCTTAAACCAGACAAGACAAAGTTGTTGTGGGTAAAGAAACTGGGTAATCTAGGTAGGGAGGTGCTGGATGGGCACACAGCCTCCCAAAGGAACTGCCTCCCAATAAATTTATGGTTGCCACTATCAGTTGTAGTATTTAATAAAGCTTAAAAACCCACCAGTTTCAGATAGCTGTAAGCTGATGTGTTTTAGCTGATGCTATGCTAGTGTTTTATTGTTTTACTGTGCTTGCTTTGGAAATGGTTTTATGCTGTCTGAATTGTATTGCCATTTCTTTTGTATTTTGATGTGGTTTGTATGACATGGTAAGCCGATCTATGACTTACTGGAACCACACAAATGTGTGGACTCTTGGAGAGCAGCTTGTAGCCACCTTGCTCCTTTTAAAAATTCTTGTTCCATACTGAACTAAGTCGAGGTTTGGTTTAGTATGTTTTCCAAACCCGGGTTCATGATTCATAGCCAAATTTTCACTACTATTTGTGATTAACGAGGAGAGAGCTTAACCACCAGTCTGGGTTGGGCTGGAACATTAAATGAAACTTTGGCTTAGCTCAGCGCTGCTTGTAAAGATACAAAGACCCTGCAAGCTTCTTTCTAGGAGTATACCATTGTTCCAGTAAGCCATAATGTGCAAAGTCTGGGTAAGCCAGTGCTATATTATGCTGGAATGCATACAGTGTTACAGTATGTGTTATGTACTGAGTGAATAGAATCCAAAAGGCAGCAGTCTGATTGGTCCTAGAACAATAGGGTCCAGAATGCAGCACTCTGATTGGTCCACAGGAGCCACACAAGCCAGCTCCAGGTGGAAGTGATATTTCACTATGTTATTGCATTTTTATGGTTGTATTATTGCTCTTTGCCACCTTTAGTAGATATGCCTCAAAAGGGTGACTTATAAATAACCAAATTCAGTCTGTCATTCTCACAGGGTATAGAATCCTGGCTATCTTGGATGTGGAGACTTTATTTGTTTATTATTGCAGTTCCTTATAACTCGCTTTCCAGGATGCAGATCCCTTCCAGGTTGCCTCATGAGTGATATCCAAAGTCATCAGGATTCTTCTCACTGGGCAACTGGTGGTAGATGGCCTGCAGAAACAGCCAACCTTGCTCCAGTGTCTTCTTTGCCTTTCTCCTTATTTATATGCCATCATTTTGCTATAAACCATTAGAGTTTTTCACTGCATATGATATTCTATCAAAACTGGTCACCACACTTTGTTTAAAAATGTCCCTGTCCCATCTTTTGACAACAAGGTCACCAAGGCACATCACAGTTGCAAGTCCTCCAAGGCACATCACAATAATCTTAAAGAAAAACACTACACACAAAAAACCAAAACTTTCATTATTAACAGATAAAAATGGAAGGAATATTAAAACAACCTGTAACAGCAGGAGAAAACCCCCCTCCTAAAATAGAGACAGATGAAATACCTGGTGGAGTAGGAATGTCTCCAGTATTTGTCTGAAGGCCAGGAGGAAGGATCCAATCAGGCTTCCTGTGGGAGGGAGTTTCCCAACCTTGGCCTCGCTACTAAGAAGACACTGTAACATGTCCTGACCAGCTGAGTAGTTGAAGGCAAAGGGACATGGAGTAGGACATCCAACAATGAACATCATGGGAGGGAAAATAGCCCTTCAAATATCCTAGAATCATAGAATCATAGAGTTGGAAGAGACCACAAGGGCCATCGAGTCCAACCCCCTGCCAAGCAGGAAACACCATCAGAGCACTCCTGACATATGGTTGTCAAGCCTCTGGTTCCAAACCTGGTTCCAAACCATTTAAGGCAGGCATCCCCAACCTGCGGCCCTCCAGATGTTTTGGCCTACAACTCCCATGATCCCCAGCTAACAGGACCAGTGGTCAGGGATGATGGGAATTGTAGTCCAAAACATCTGGAGGGCTGAGGTTGAGGAAGCCTGATTTAAGGCACTACGGTGGTACCTCAGTTTATGAACAGTCCTATTTATGAACTATTCAGTTTACGAACTCTGCAAAACCGGAAGTAGTGTTCTGATTTGTGAACTTTACCTCAGTCTACGAACGGAAGCCAAACAGTGGAAGGGCACCGGCGGTGGGAGGCCTCATTAGGGAAACTCCGCCTCAGTTTAAGAACGGCTTTGGTTTAAGAACGGACTTCAGGAACGGATAAAGTTCGCAAACCGAGGTACCACTGTATAGGTAATAACCAGTATGTTGAACTGGAAGCTAGTGCAACTTAGTAACATTGTAGTGATAATCTTGGCAAAGGTGACTCTCTGCCAGCACTCTGGCAGCTACACTTGCCGCTAGTGGAGCAGCCTGTCCTCCTGCACTCCCTGCATCTGGCTGCCTCTGAAAGCTCCCTGCTTCCCATGGAGGAGTTCTGTTTGCATACATTGGTACACAGAGAGATATTCTCCCAGAGGCTGGATAGCAGGGGGCCATAGCAGCCATGCATGTTGGCAGTAAGGGGTGGGATTAACCCATACACGCCCCTCACCTGTCCTTCTAATGTGGAGCGATGACCATCACCTCCTCTCTTACGTGGCTTTAGGATGCTACAGTGGTACCTCAGGTTACAGATGCTTCAGGTTACAGACTCCGCTAACCCAGAAATAGTACCTCAGGTTAAGAACTTTGCTTCAGGATGAGAACAGAAATTGTGCGGTGGTGGTGCGGCGGCAGTGGGAGGCCCCATTAGCTAAAGTGGTACCTCAGGTTAAGAACAGTTTCAGGTTAAAAACGGACCTCCAGAACGAATTAAGTTCTTAACCCGAGGTACCACTGTACTGTTATTTTTCTGATCTATGCTGCTGTTAATATTATGATTTAATTGCATTCAGATTCATTGATTGTTTTTATTGTTATTATTGTGAGCTGCCTTGGGAAGCTGAAAGGCAAGGTATAACTGTTTCAGATCCATTAGTCAAATAATTAATGAAATGTCCCTGGTTCCAGAGCAGAATTTATTGGTTTTGATAGCCCACCTACAGGTTTAGGTAGGGTCCCTTTCTTTTTATTGTATAACTTGAAAAGCATTATTGAGTCACCAACCTATTTTCAGTAATTTCAGTTAGACCAGCTTGTTAATTTAATTTAATTTAATTATGGCCCACATTTCCCCCCTCTTTTTTACACTAAACACCCTGATAGTTGCCAGCTCTATCCAAGATGAGCATTGCTCAGGAAACTGCCAAGCTTACCGAGGCTCTGCCAATTAGGGGTTTAAAAGAGGTCAAACTATCAGAAGAGCAGAAACTGTTTGATTTTTATGATCTTTGTCACAGAACCTTAAGGGCATCAGATGATTCAGAGTTACATCAGCTTCAAGAAGCGGGTTAGCATATGAGTAAAAATCTAAATGTGTGTGTCACTTTGCTGGCCTCAAGCAGGGTGTGTGTGTGTGTGTGTGTGTGACTGAGCCAAGAACTCTTAGCTTATTGGCTTTCTTTCTGTTGGCTGATTCCATGCTCATGGAACAGACCCTAAAATTAGGGATGTCTCTCACGTTTTTCAGAACTGAAAGTAGAACACACAAATCCTCCAAGTCTTGTGTATCCGAGCTAGCTTGCAGTGATTAATGATCCTCCTGGCTTAAAGTGCCATCTCTGTGTTTCGTTCTCTCCATTCATTTTAATTGCCTGATTCCCCCCTCCCTCCCTTCTTATTTGTTCCACACAGTGGGAAGAAGTCAGTGGCTACGATGAGAACCTCAACACTATCCGGACTTACCAGGTGTGCAATGTCTTTGAGCCCAACCAAAACAACTGGCTCCTCACCACGTTCATCAACCGACGGGGTGCGCACCGCATCTACACAGAGATGCGCTTCACGGTGAGGGACTGCAGCAGCCTCCCAAATGTCCCTGGTTCCTGCAAGGAAACCTTCAACCTGTATTACTATGAGACAGACTCTGTCATCGCCACCAAGAAGTCAGCCTTCTGGACAGAGGCCCCTTACCTCAAGGTGGACACCATCGCTGCAGACGAGAGCTTCTCTCAGGTGGACTTTGGTGGCAGGTTGATGAAGGTGAACACAGAGGTGAGGAGCTTTGGTCCCCTCAATCGCAACGGCTTTTACCTGGCCTTTCAGGATTATGGGGCGTGCATGTCACTGCTGTCGGTGAGGGTCTTCTTTAAGAAATGCCCCAGCGTGGTGCAGAATTTTGCCATCTTCCCAGAGACGATGACAGGAGCAGAGAGCACCTCCCTAGTGATTGCACGGGGCACGTGCATCCCGAATGCCGAGGAGGTGGATGTGCCCATTAAGTTGTACTGCAATGGTGATGGGGAGTGGATGGTTCCCATTGGCCGCTGTACCTGCAAGGCTGGATATGAGCCCGAGAATAATGTGGCCTGCAAAGGTAAGGTGATGATTCGTTGAGATGCTGTGTGATGATGGCCAGACAGAAATCCTTGATAGCCCAAGTGGCTGTTAAGGGGCTGGTTTGATAGCATCGTTTGCCCCTAGCAAATTGGAACAGCCAAACTGTATTAATGCCAGTGTGTTTGGGATTGCCTGGGAATTAAAGTTTTGCATTGCTTTGTCCACCTTGGACAGCTGTAGCTCTGAGTTGAGTCTTTTCAGTATCTGTAGCAAGGGTTGCTAAGAACTGTCCTAAGTGGTACCTGCCTTAAACCAAGTCAGGCAGAAAATGTGACATCTTAATAAATGAGATAAGGACTGAGATGATGTTGAGCAGTGACAGTGATTTACTTGTGATTCCTCTGTCCAATTGTGTTTTGCCTTAGCTTTATGCCACACAGTTGTTCAGAGTAGAAAATCCCACTTATATTTTATCCCAGTGCTGAAGCTCCTGAAATGACCATCAAATGAGCAGCTTCTCTGCTCATGGTTGAGTCATAGCATATAGGAAACTCATTTGTGAATGTCTAGTATCCTAGGTGTAAATTTGCAAGTTGATAATACTTCACAGTAGTATTCACACCCTTTCTGTATCTCTTTGGTAAATGCCTTTTTTGGAGGGATCAATTTTATTGGCATCAGCATTTAACAATGAGCTTTTGGTGGAGCAAATGGGACTGCAGCAGAGGTCATGTCTGCAAATATCTGTGGTTTCATAAGGATCAAATGTGGCCTTCACTGAGCTCAGCCCAGAGGAACCTTTACTTAGCTGAAATCTCTCAGTCAACATTTTGCCACGTATTTACTGGATAATACATCCCACAAAGTTGGATCCAGGGTGACCTATGTTAGGTTGACCTACTGATACTGTTGTGACAGGTGAACATGTCTGTTCTGTCAGGAAAGCTCTACCAGGAAGAGGAGCAGCAAATGCCACTGCCTGCTTGTCGCTCTGCCTCGTGAGCAGGCAGGTGGTAGCTATGATGGTGGTGGTGGTGGTGAAGAAGAAGAAGAAGAGCAGCAGCAGGAGCAACTAGTGAAAATGGTGTTGAGACTTTCTGATGGAGAGGGATAATGGAGAGTATCTAGTGCAAGGAACCTCAAAAACCTAGAGTTGACACTCTTTGGATGAATTCAAATGAAAGGCAGTGTGTTATTGTTCTAAATGGCATGGGCCTTGCCTCTGTGTATGAATTGAGCCTTGGGAGTTAGCTTCTCCAGGCTGAGAAATCTGAGGTGGGTAAGTTAGACATATAGAATATGGTGGAAATTATTTCTCTCTCTGTTTTCGACAATGGCGATGTGGGAGGTAAAGGTACTCTATACAGCTGCAGGGTATGGAGCACACACTAGGGAAATGCTAACATCTAGGGACCATGATGTGATCTGGCTTCTGTAAGTGCAAGGCCATATACAGGGATCTTTTATTGTGAAGTGACTGCTGTGTATGGAAACAAGTATATGTCACAATGTCAAGGCTATAAGTGGCTGAGATTATGCAAATGGCAGTACATAGTTGGCCATGTGCCCGAGGCGGCACATTCTGAATGCTGTGTCTCACACAGAATGTTTGCAGTGTTTGTAGTGAAACCCTGAGGGAACTGCATGTAAATGTTTAGTAAATACTTCAAATAGAAAAAGGTGCATACTTTTTATAGAGAACATACTGTGCAAAAAGTTACTTGACCTTATTTCTCATTCACACTTTTAAATGCTCTCTAAAACAACATATTGCCAGCACAGTCTAATATTAGCAAATATATTGCTTTGCTTTCAGTATGCTTTCTAAAAGATAGCTGCTTGTGGAGTTTTTATAAGATGAAATTAGTATCTAAGGAAAATGGAAATTGAATCTAAGGGCCAAAACAGATGTGATGCAGTCGATTCATGATTGCATTTCCCAACTTTTTATTGTTAAACTTTAAAGCAGCCATAAGGGGATACCCAGTTTTTGTAGGAGCAGTGATAGTGAGGGAGTGTAGGTTGAAACATTTTCCTCTGCTGTTTTCTCCATTTAAATCCTCCCCCCACAATTTTGCTATTACCAAACTGAGAAAAATCCCAAACATGGTAGAGCTATCTGTATTTTCCCCCAGCAGGGCTGGTGGCAGCTTTGGGGTGGGGTGGAAAAGCAATTTCGATTAAGAAATGACATGGAAGAAAGGAATGGCATGGGTGCCTTTGGGAGGAAGAGCAAGATATAAATCAGGGGTCAGCAACCTTTTTCAGCCATGGGCCAGTCCACCATCCCTCAGACCTTGAGGGGGGCCAGACTATATTTTTTAAAAAATATGAACAAATTCCTATGCCCCACAAATAACCCAGAGATGCATTTTAAATAAAAGCACACATTCTACTCATGTAAAAACACTAGACAGGCCCCACAAATAACCCAGGGATGAATTTTAAATAAAAGTACACATTCTACTCATGTAAAAACACACTGATTCCCGAACCGTCCGCAGGCTGGATTGAGAAGGTGCTTGGGCCGCATCCGGCCCCTGGGCCTTAGGTTGCCTACCCCTGATATAAATCACCATCTTGGATGCTATTTGTGATCCCAGATCTGCTCACACAATGCTTTCTCAGGCACCCAGAATCAAAATTGTTGAATCTGGCTGCTTGGAAGCCAAACAGAAACACCACCTAAAAGCCAGCATACCACCACAAGTGTATCCAAAAATCCTCTTTTTCTGCTAAGCTGCCACCCTTCACTCATACCAACTGTGCTACTGGAGAAGGTACCATTGGTACTCATATGAAAGATGTATTGATTGGGGGGGGGGGCTAGGCCTACCTGAGGCTGGCTAAGTAAGCACACTAGGCTCTTACAAACAATAAGGTCACAACTCTACTAATAACAGACTTAAGATGAGTGAACTACTAAACAACTCACTCCTTTGGCCTTGAATTTTGCATGAATGACTAATCTAAGATTCAAGCTAGCTGAGCCAGAAGGAGAATTGTCCCCCTCCACAGAAGGAGAGGAGCTGACATTTAGAAAATGATAAAGTTTTTTTTTTTCTGCCTTCAAGTGATCTGGCACAAGATAACATCTCAACTGGTGGTGCCCTAGTGCCCCCAATCCCCAAAATACTTTTCAGATGAGTACCAGTACCACCTGAGCTCTATGCATAACTAAAGACCTGAGGCCCATAAAAGAACGGGAAAAAATGAAAATCCCTACTGCCTCTGTGTGTGTGTGTGTGTGTGTGTGTGTGCGCGCGCAGGGACACATATATGGTCAGTGCAATTTATGTTCACAGTGGCCTCTTCATGACTTTTGCATTCTCTATCATGACTCTTGCATTCTCTAGCTTTTGTATAAATGGATTGTGCACACATTACCAGCTTAAAACATAGCAAGGTGGTTTTCTCCTGCTGAGTTTCAAACAGCCTTTGTACATTGTTGTACACGTTAGTATGGTTGAATGTGTTTGCCTGCTTTCTGTCCACACCAGTGGGTGGCGAGGGTAGGTAGATGTCTTTATGTGGTTTACATTTTCAAATCAAAGTGAAGCTGATTTGGGGGGAAATGCATGAAAATGCAGCATTTGTCAAGAATCTACAGGCTAGATAGATATGGATTGTGGCTAACATAGTGCTTATGTGGCTTCCTCAACAAGCAATGGGAATGCACTGGATGCTTGAGTGAATGGGAACATGTATACAACCATGGTGAGTAGTATGTTTATGAAGTGGAATGCATGCAAATATTGCCTTGATAATGAGGGCAGCCTCTAGCATCTTCCAGCAGAAAACTGCCCCTGGGAAGCCCGCAAACAGGATATGAAATGAGATATTCATCTCTATTGATTGCCTACAACATATGGTAATTAGAGAGCCCAACCGATCATATTTACATGGATCTGCAGGTCCCTAAAGTTGGGCTACTTCTCCCAACTGAAGCGGTTAAAATTAGTTTAAGTAAGGCTGCCTGGTTTAAGAAGAAAATGGAAGCTGTTTATACTGCGGAAACACCAGTAGTGTTTGTTTGGTTTAGTAATGGAAGTGTAAGATCCCTAGCGAGAAAGGGTGCAGTGAAAGAAAGCAGTAAAAAAATTAATTATAGTTCTCCATATATCCTATACAATGCAATACAAACATAAAAAAAACCTAGGAGATAATTGATGACCGTATCATATTCACCATCTAGTGGCATCATGAGCAGGTGCTGAAATAAATTGAAACCAAATTATAACATTACAAAGATTAAATATGAATAATGGAGCAGAGTAAAGCTTATGGAGCAGGAAAGGAGTGGAAGGATTTTGTGCTGTGGCAACAATAATGAGATACCTGCGGCCCTCTTGGTGCTGTTGGCCTCTGTGATGTTAACATATGAGAGAGTGCTGGAGGTGAAATAGTTAAACAGGTTACCCAATCAGGACCCAGGTGGAGTCAGAGGGACTATAAAACCAGCTCTGGGAGGGGCAAAGGGGGAGTTCGTTGGAGAGTTCGTTGGGAGTTGGGTGGTTGGTTGGGTTGGAGTGGGAGTGAATTGGGATAGAGTGTGGGTAGGTTGAGTTAAGTAAATATCTGAGAGGTGGTTTAGTGAGTGAGAGCAGGTAGCAAAAGTTATAGGTCTGGATAGGCACCCCATGAATGTAATTGACCGATACCATTTATGAAACCATACGCTTGTTAAACTGCAATAAATAAACAGAAGTTTATGTTCCAATTTAACCCTGATTGGACTCAGTATTGTCCCAGGTAGGGCCTGGGTGGTGGCAGAGAGAAATAAAGTGGTGGCACAGGGATCAATAGATGGTGAAATGTCCGGGGACCCTGTGTGATCGCCACAGCCTCCAACTCCCATTAATCCCAACCAGCATGGCCACAGGTCAGGAATGATGGGAAATGCAGTTCAACAAGGTCTGGAGGGTCACAGGTATCCCACGCCGGCTTTACAAGACATAACCTTTAAGCCAGGATTTCTAAAAACAGCATCGATTGGCATCCATAGGCCTACAATGGAGAGGTTGGATCATCCCTAAGTGCACCTTAGTACAGTGACTAAATGGCAGCTGTCAGTGCTTCTCTTTTGGTATTAATTGTGCACACTTAGAAGCATTTGCAGCATTCCTGGAAAGGGATTATATTTCTTCCCTTGGGGCACTCTTGGGCTGCACAGCTTCAAAGCATGCACTGGTCATGCAGTAATCCTTTCCTGCCATGTTGACAGGTCAGGTGATAAGTGCATAGATGGTGGTGGTCAGATGCACCTTATAAAAATAGCCGTGGTCCTTTAATTGCTAACACTGACAAGCAGTAAGAGAGAATGGGAAATGCAGTCTCTTTTATTGCACTGTTCAGGAGAAGAGAACTGGCACCCTAAATTGGAGGCCTTGGATGGGGTGTCTACCAGTGGCAGATGGTGATCAGGCTTCTGGCTGAGCTGGGAACTGAAAGTGGTAGACCAACCACTGGAATGGGGGTGTCAGCTGACGTAACACAGTCTGCTGCCTTAGGGATCCTTGCCATTGCGCTCCTCAGATCCCCATTCAACACTCCTGTCACACTCTCCCCTCCCCATTCTGTTGCATCAAACCTCCTTATTTAGCTGAAACTTATGATGGAGACAGCACAGCTAGTTTCTCCTTTCATGGAATAGCTTTTTTATTCTGCTCATGGTGGCTTAGATTAGATTCCAGCACACATTTTAATGGTTTCCAGGTCATATCAAGATGTAAAACCCAATTCTGAGTAGGAGACATAATGGCTGATAATATGAATTATTTCATCCCTTTAGATAGGCTACATACCTTGCAGTAGGTATTTGTGAAGACGGTTGCAAATACCTTACTGTGACCCAGCTCTGAACGCATTCTCAGTTTACCTTGTTCCTGCCCTTCTTTGACTTCACTGACTTGGCGTTTCCTTGATTTTCTGTGCCCCATGAATCTATAGAATTTGTAGAATGTATAAAACCCTCACAGTGGGATTGGAGTCCAAGGCTGGTGCGGGTGTTCATCAGCTGAGGATCTGCACCATAGCAGAGGACCTATTGACAAGAGCCCACTGTCCTTATTGTAGTGAGAAGGTGGACTTGCTGAGGTGAGCGGGGATGGAGGATGCCCAGCAACCAATGCTGCCTCACAATATAGTGGAACAAGGTGCATTGTGAGGTAAGAGATGATGTAATAGCAAAGTAGTAAGATGAATAATACAGCTTCTGAACTCTAGGACCTTTGCGATCATGACGACAGGAATAGTAATGGGATGTGGGATGCGTGATTTGATAGCACCTGAGACATGCATGAACATGACCTCAAATGTCCTTCGAAGCAAAACTGATCCAGGGCTGAGTATGTGGCTTGATCAATTTTGACACCCCTCCTCCAAAAGATTTCCCCTTCTTGCTTGGAAACTCATTGCCCCTGCAGGCTGGCCTTGATTGTTTGTCAGCACCAAGGTGCAGGGGCTGTTGTAAGGCAAAATCAAACTGCAGATTGCTTTCTTGAAGAAGGCCACGCAACAGCTGCCTCGCGAAGGCAGAACTCTCCAAAGTGATGTTTGTGATTTCTTGGCTTCAAAGGGCTGTGTGGGGCTGCGTTGGCTGGCTGGGCCTCTTTCATCTTTCTCATTATTTCCTGAGTGAAACGGCAGGAATCAGAACAAGCCTTGATTGGTTCTGATTTAAATGGAACTCCGGGAACGACACTCTGATTCTTTCTCTTAATTGGAACTTTTCTCTCTCTTGTTTTGGGCTTTGCCATGCGTGCTGTCAATTTGATACCGCCTGCTGGAATCCTCATAGGGTTTGGATTTATAAATATGGAAATTATGTAATTTCTCCTTTTATGTCACTGCTTTCTGAGTTTTTATTAACATTGCTCATTTCCCCCCCTTTATGCCTAGTGGCTTTACTGAAACTTTCTGTTCTTTGAAATAACATTCTAGTTTAAAAGGTTCAGTCCAAAGTTGCTGGAAGGCAAGGCAATGAAAAAGTTGGGAGTGTTGGACATGGTGACACTACTGAAGGCAGCTTTCAAAATGTTAATAGTAATATAAAGAGAAAGAAAGAAAGAAAGAAAGAAAGAAAGAAAGAAAGAAAGCAAGCAAGCCACCATGGGTCCGAGAATAACTGAATTCTATGCAAAGACTAATCTCAAAAAGTTGTAGTTATAGGGGAATCATCTTTTTTTTTTCTTAAAAAAAATGTTTCTAGATCCCACTATTACAGAAATTGCTTCATAATACAATTCTCAAGTCTTCCAAAATAATTAATGTTTTTTAAACATTTGGTTCTTATAATTTTTTGACCTGCTAAGTCTTTTTATACTGTACTTTGCAAAACTATAATACTTAGAGTCACTGTTATTTATTTGAAAGATTTCTAGGCTGCCCTATAGGCCAATGTCATGAATGGATTCATGCCAGTGACATGAAAATGATCAGTTTCAGGTTTGAAATCCACTTCTGGGACTTTCAGTAAATTGGAAGAAGTGGCTGCAATGTGCTCTAAATATTAATTTAATAATTCTTTGATGTTTTAACTACCTGATTTTCTTTCTGTCTCTCTTATATGGCTTTCTCCTTTCCAGTTAATGGCAGACCTCCTTGGCTTAAACTCGACAAACTATATCAAATTGTGAAGATTAAAATTTTGAAGATTTATTTGCTTTGCTCACAAGAGATGCTTTTTTCTTTACGTGTGTTTGCAATATAATGTTCAGTCACTAGATGGCTCTATGTGCTCTGTGGAGTTAAAGAGAGGGTGTGTCCTTTATAGACAAAGAAGCGAGAAGCAGCTCAAGGTGTGTGGAAAGGCATTTTTTTGTTCGCAGGTAAAACTGATGACAAAGACCCATACCTTGTACAATGAGCAGTTCAAGACCTGGCCAGAATCTCCATTTTTTTACTCTAACACAATAGCAGCAATCTTCATTTCCATTTAGTGAAAGATGGAAGATGTTTTCCAGTACTGTACATTCGCTTATACCACCATTATGCCAAAGAGGTATGATTCTTTGCATATACATGTATTTCCAAGATCTTTCAATCCCCAGCGAACAAGGGAAGGTGTGAAAAGTGTAATCTTCTTAAAGGATTTATTTGTGTTTTGCAAAGGGTGTAAAGCTGACGAAAGGGCCCTGCTCCAGGTCATCCTCTGCTTTTCTTTCCATCTGCCTGCACTTATCCCGTGTCAGTCGCTACACAGCCTCAGCATGCTACTCACAGCGGTGCAGTTACCCATTGCTGCATCTTTGCGCAAAACTAATGACATTTTCACCAGTTTAATCCTGGACAAAAGGTGGTTCCCATAGCAGGCCATAGTGAAAAGGGTTAAATTGTTCACTCTGGCCAAAATCGCCTCTTTTATTATAAAATATGTATGAAGTAATTTCTCAGAGCACATGAAGCTCACTCTCTATATAGTGAAACCACATGGTCTAGTGTTGCCCTACACCTGGGATTTCTTGGACACGTCTGGTTTTGGGGAACCAGCACCCCCATCCGGGCAGATTTTTGCATTTTGGATTAAATGTCCGGGTTTGCGTTTTTAATATTTTTTTGTTTTTGTTTTTGTTTTTGTTTTAATTGTGAGGCATGCACATGCTCAGAAGGCACTGTGTCCAGGAACAGGAAGCAGGCATCAGGTGGTCTGGAGCAGCTTGCCGGGGGTTGCACTAGGTCTGGTGTTCCTGGCTGCCGCCAAGCCTTGCACTGTCTTCCTGGGGCTGCGCTGGTCCCTGCAGTCACCTGGCCTTGCGTGGCCTTCTAGGGGCCACTCAGCCTCTCTTATTGTGAGCAGGAGGCCGAAGACAGCAGAGAGGGGAGGGAAAAAGGGGGGAGCAAGCGGGTGAGGAAGAAAGAAGAAGAAGAGTTTGGATTTGATATCCCACTTCACTACCCGAAGGAGTCTCAAAGCGGCTAACATTCTCCTTTCCCTTCCTCCCCCACAACAAACACTCTGTGAGGTGAGTGGGGCTGAGAGACTTCAGAGAAGTGTGACTAGCCCAAGGTCACCCAGCAGCTGCATGTGGAGGAGCGGTGAACCCAGTTCCCCAGATTACAAATCTACCGCTCTTAACCACTACACCACACTGGAAGGGGAGGGTTAGTGGCAGGGAGGGGGTGAGTGAGGGAGATACGGGATGATGGGGGGTGTCTGGATCGTGGTGATGGGGAGTGTCCAGGTTTTTGATCCCCGGAATGTGGCATCCCACATCCAAACCTATTTTGCTTCCTGCCACAGCTGACACAAATGGGGATAGAAGAGCCTGCAATCACATATTTTACTCATTGAAGCAATATTTCCTTTCTCGTCCGAAATCTTTTGACAGTCATGGCAAATTATAAATACCTGTGCCTTTTCCGGCGTCTTTGCAAGAATACAGAAAATATGAAGTGGCATTAGAGAAGAAGAAGAAGAAGAGTTTGGATTTGATATCCCGCCTTTCACTCCCTTTAAGGAGTCTCAAAGCGGCTAACATTCTCCTTTCCCTTCCTCCCCCACAACAAACACTCTGTGAGGTGAGTGGGGCTGAGAGACTTCAGAGAAGTGTGACTGGCTCAAGGTCACCCAGCAGCTGCATGTGGAGGAGCGGAGACATGAACCCGGTTCCCCAGATTACGAGACTACCGCTCTTAACCACTACACCACACTGGCTCCTCTGGTTGTGCTTACTGTTGGCAAGGCCATGGTCCTGTGTTCAGAGCTTTGTGTGATAACTGAATATTCTTTTTAGGCTTTCTTTTTCTTTTTTTGCTGAGAAGGAAGAAGCAACAGATATTATTGCTTGGTATGAATCAATTTGCAGCTGATAGTAATATTCATTTATTTCGGTAGTGCTCCCAGTGTGCGTGGCATTTTACAAGGCTATAAGAGGACAGGTCTGTGTCCCGGGGGACTTTCAGTTTAAAATTTGACAAGGGGAAACAACAGAAAAAGGGGGTGGAAATGGAGGCTGGGGGTAAAAGGGACGCACTGTGTGTTTTTTTTCAATTGCACTTTCTGAGACTCAGCTATAAATTGGGTTACATTAGGGGAAGGCTGACTAAACTGTTTCTCTCCAGATGTTGCTGGATTACAACGCACATCATCTCTATTTGCCATATTGGTTGGGTCTGAGCTGAAGCTCAGCATTAGGCAGCCGCCCTTGCACTGTGGGGGTTCTTGTGCCTGTTAGAATTCCTGCTCCATGATTGCAGTCATGGGATTTTTGTCTTTCACATGACGTGGTATGTTTTGACTCCACAGAGTGGGAAGTGACGGAGACAGAATGTTTGTGTTACTGTGTTCCGCGAAGAGGGACTATTGTCCTTTGTTTTTTCCCCTCTTTGCTGTCTGATGCTAGAGAGAGAAGGAGCCATGTTGCAGTGCTCCGTGTATGTTTATATGTAAATAAAGTAGATTAGCCAAAATGCTGAGTTGCTGAGTGGTGGAAATGACTGGCAGAATCCAAGACCAGGGAGAAGAGTCGGTGGAAGAAGATTGGAAGAAATTTAAAGACTATTTACAGAAATACTGCAAAATTAATGAATGTTAGAATGATGTCAGAATGAAATTAAGTGGTCTTAGCAACAATGTTATAAAGGTGTATGCACAAATGGATTGTTAACAGATGAGAATCTAAAGTTATAATATGTTAAGTTAAAGGATTAAGATAAAAACAAAGAGGGAAAGGAATTGCTGAATTAACTAATAGAACTGGAATACAAAAAGGGAGGTGTGAGGAAGTCAGGGAAGTAAGGAAATGAAATGTAAGTTATGGAAAGATCGATGTGTTTTTCTTTTAAGTGTTTTTTATCTTTTTTTTGTATTTTGTATTTTTTTTCTTTTTTTTCTTTTTTACCTATGTAATTTTTTCTTTGAAACTTTAATACATATCATTTAAAAAATAATAATAATGCTGAGTTGCTGAGGTCTGTCACGCAAGTTGCGCAAACTCTGTGGATCCCTGTATGTGCCGGTGTCGGTTGGCATTGGTCGCTGTGATGTTTGGGCTGAAGAAAGCTTTTGAAGCTCCCGAACGAAAGGCCAGGAGGGAGAGAACATGCCAGTCGGGCATGTGTCTCTGCCAAGGTCCTACTCGAGTGTAGGCTGAACTCCTGACAGTGCCCAAGGCTTCATGGAAGAGGTGGGTTTTGAGCAATATTGGGGGTGGTGGTGGCATCTCACAGTTATGCTATGCAATGAAAGCTGTGCCCCTGTGCCAAGGCTAGCAGTGTTCTGTCCTTTTTTGGTGCCTGGCACATGCTGGGTCAACAGAACCCACCATGCCAGGCCAGCCTGCACCACCAACGCCACCGGGCATGTGCATGCAAGGCGCAGAGGGTTCATGGAGCCTGTGCAAGAGCTTGGCCCTGGTCACTGGTGTGGCTGTGCTGTGCCCCTACCCCCCGTCCCCTCCCACATGCTATGGTCCAGGCCTTTTCCAAGGCCTTCTTAGTTACTGTCAGATTGCAGCATAAACCACAGACACTAAAAGTGGCATGTGTGAAAGGGTACAGATCAATGATGGTATGGTGACCATTGGAGACAGTCAGAGCACAAGAATGAAAATGCTTAAAAATGGCAGAAAGGGCTTATTAGAGAACAGAAGTCAAGGTTGTGTTTCAAGTTTGCCCTCAGAAGTGCCCTTTAAGCATCTGCTCATATTGGCATACCAGGCTTACTCCCGTGAGTTGTGCTTGTTGTTTAATTTTGCCAGGACCTGGAAGTGAATCCAGAAGACTCACAGTGGGGGCTATGAATCCTTATCCTGCTGGTAGCGACCACGACAGGATTCAGCGGCGGCAGCAGATGGGTCACACCTTGGATAATTTTCCAGCCAAGAGCTTTTACAGATGAATGGATTGCATGAGCTGTGCCTAAAAGAAGCCTTTGCTTGTCCCTTTTACTGCAGAAGCAAGAACACATCAACGCTTTGAGAGCAAAGTCTGAAAAGGAGAGAGGGGGGAAACAAGCCATTTGTGTAATATCTTCCTGCCTTTGCAAAAAGCTCCGGTGTAATGATGTTATTTAGTGAGCAGATTTTGCTTTCTTTTGTTTTTCTTTTCACCTTGGTTTTGGATTCATGTGCACTAAAACAATGTTTAGCAAAGAGAAGAATAATTGATTTCTTGCAATATTGCACAAAGCTGCATTGCAAAAAGTAACTTAAGTGATCATTTCATATGATACTTTACTGATCAGAAGCAAACTACTTTCCCCCTGAGCAAATTCTGCTTATTTGGCTCCCATGTGTGTCTCCAGGGCAGCCTAAGAATATGAATTTGCAACACTGGTCTGTGCTAAAACAGATTTTCCCCTCAGCATTAGCTTTTCCATTCCAGCTGGTGTATTTGAAGTATTGTAATGGGTTTTTGTCTTTCTTTTGAAATAATTGACAGCACCCACAATTTCATAGTGACCTCTCCAAATTCTGTTTAAAATGAGCAAACCCCAAATTTTCTAGATTGTTTTGGTTAGCAATAATGATATAAATGTCTATAGCAGTCTTTCCGAAGAATCTCAACCTTGTGTCCCCAGATGTTGTTTGACTACAACTCCCATCATTGCTAGCTAGCAGGACCAGTGGTCAGGGATGATGGGAGTTGTAGTCCAACAACGTCTGAGGACCCAAGGTTTAGAAAAGCTGGTCTAAAGGGTAAAAGCCAAAGCCTCTGAAAGCAGGAGACCAGTGAGGAAACAATACATGTACAGTCATACCTCGGGTTGAATGTGCTTCAAGATGAGTGCGTTCGAGTTGCGCTCTGCGGCAACCCGGAAGTAACACAGTGTGTTACTTTCAGGTTTTGCCGCTTGCGCATGCGCAGACGCTCAAAATGATGTCACGCGCATGCGCAGAAGCGCCAAAACGTGACCCACGCACTCATAGATGCGCGGACACGGGTTACATTTGCTTCTAGATGTGAACGGGGCTCCGGAACGGATCCCGTTTGCATCTAGAGGTACCACTGTATAGTATTTTAAGTACATTATTTTAAGATGTCTTAATATAGTTGGACGTTTTGACTTGCTGGTTGCCCTGCAGGGACAGTATGCAACACTTATAATGAACTGATATCTTTATTAAAGTACTAGATGAACCAGTCTATTTGATTTTATGCTCACTGAGCTTGTTCCCCAGGTGAGTGACTAGAAAAAGCACAATATCTTTAAAGTAGGTTTCCTGGTTTTCCACATTGGATCAACATGTGCTTTATTGCTTTGTTCTTTGGAATTTGTAGTTGTAGCTTCGATTGCTGTAGTGCTGAGGTTGAAAACTTGTGCCCTTCCATATTTGTTGGATGACATCTCGCATCATCCCTGTCCATTGGCCATTTTGGCTGGGCTGTTGGGAATTGAAGTCCAACAACATCTGGAGACTCACAAATTGCCCACCTCTGCTATATAAAAAAATAAAAAAATTGTCCAGTAGCACCTTAGAGACCAACTAAGTTTGTTCTTAGGTGCTACTGGATATATATATATTTATGCATCAGACCAATACGGCTACCTACCTACCTACCACCTCTGCTATAATAGGTCATGAAATGAATTTGTAGCTTCATATTTCATGGTGTTGTATGTGGGGCATTTCTTAAATATAGGAAACATCTTGACATCTTGTGATTGATCTCAAGCCTGTACTTTGCAGTTGCTGATGGAAACAGAATGAAGCATTTAATTTTGTTAAACATGAAACTGCAATGAATTGGCAGCTGTGGATTTGCTACCTAAACAGAACAGTGTCTTCCTGGGGGGGGGGCATTAGAAGGGGCATTTATGCTTGTTCAAACTTGCTGAAATGAATTGCAGTTGCACAGAGAGCTATGTGACTATAAAAAGTGATGAATATATATATATATATATATATATATATATATATATATATATATATATATATATTCATGACAGCAGAGGGCTAGGACCGAAAATAACAAGCCTCATTTTTGTAATGTATTGCCTGAAATGCACAACATGATGCGGGGAGGAGGCACAAGAAATAGAATTGAATGAGAAGGCTAATCGTTCACTCTGAGAAAGAGTGGAGTGGAATGCCATGACATGCATTCCTAAGGCACATTCATTCACATCAACACATTGAACCCAGAGAACTGTGATTCACTTGTAGTGGCACATGACTTGCAGCACATGTGTGATGGTGCTGTGGGTTTCATTTTATGCCTGTTTTGTTGCTGGGTGCATGTTCGAGCTTTGCAAAAGATTGCATGTAGTAATTTGGGGGGGAGTGATAGGAAAGCCATTTCCATTGCTGTGGAGATTAGAAAACAAAACGTTAGCTGCTTAATGTGAAGATGCATGTGCAGTCCATGCACTGTTCCTTAAATGAAGCAAAGAAAAGCATGAAGTGTGTGCACGGGGAACATTAGTAGCTCTTCTAGATTGTATTAGCACTCTATGAATTTGGGTGACTTGGAAAGCCGCGTTACATCCTAGCACCACGAAACCCTATCGTTGAGATCTTTGTGCAAGAATCAGAGGCACATGTCTCTCCATAGCTGTCAACTTTCAGATTTGAAAATAAGGGATCAGCATCCTCACCTGTCCCGGGGACAGCCTACGGGATATCTAACAATCCGGGATAGCAGCAGGAAGCAGTGGGAAACGGCGCTGGAATGAGGGAATTTCCCGCAAAAAAGGGGAAGGTTGACAGCTATGCGTCTCTCTTGTGCTAGCACTTTGCTCATCTGTAAGCATTAGAGTGGGCGATTGTTGTGTTTCTTTAAACTGGTCAGGGTGCAAAATAAATCAATAGCATATTAAAATTACATCAGAAAGGATCAAATGAACATTACATTTTCTTTGTATATCATATGTATGTTCCAGATCCGCGATTTTCAGACAGAAAGTGGTGCACAAAGTATTGCTTCATTGAATCAGTAGAACATGGCATTCTGTAAACTGCGTGTCCATTTGAAACAGCTCATGTGAGTTTCAGTGAGAGTACAGGGCACGGTTACAAATTATGTTGATTTTGGCTCGCTTTGATACGAGGCAAATGGAACAGAGATTGCACAATTGATTTGTCACCAGAACTGTGTGGAATGCTTTTGGAGCTGCTCCTGTTTCCCAGCGAGGGCAGAATCCGCCGTGTGTTGTAAGTAGGCACGCTCGCTGCCTCCCTTATGCAAGCTCCCAAGAGATACACACCGCCTGACATCTGTTCAAAGCCATCGTCAACCTGAGCAGCTGAGATGAGCCACTTAATAAGCCTTGGGGAACTGTCACTAAAAATTCCCCGTAAAGGAAGGCTGAGAAAATAGGCCTAATTCCACTGCTGGGGGAAAAATAGGTCTCTGTGTTGTTTAGCTCCCTCTCCCCCTGTACCTCCCCCCACCCTAGAACAAAAGCAGCAGATATCATGGGGCTATTAGACCCAAGCGCTTCATGCTGACAGCCAAACTCAGGGGGCACTTAGGGAGCCATTAATACCAGCTTTTATCGGCACTTAGCTGCTCACTCAGAGCCCCAAAGTGAAAAGCAGAGGCAGAGGCTCACGATCTTCATCAAAGGTGTCTTCAGGTCCCAGGGAGATTAGCTGTATGATTTGGGGTCAGAATGACCAAGGCCATTACCATGGTGGCACTGGAAAGAAAACTTGAATATTGTTGTAATTTCTCCTACTCTTTTTAATATGTTGTGTTGCTATGGTGGGTGTTTTTAGCTTGTATTGTGCAAGCAATTCTGGTGAAACCCACTGTGGCGTTTGCCCATTCCTTGTGATTTTGTTTGTATAGGGGGATGGAAATGGTTAATGTAGATTGACCAATGAGAAAGCTCAGAGGCGGAGCATGCCTGGTTTTGAGGCTTAGCCCAGGGGTTTTACCATTGGGAGATAGAGGAGTCAGAGTCAGACAGAGCCAGTAAGACGAACATAGCGGTTGTGACAGCTAGAGTGAGAGACAGGGACAGAACTGAGAGAGAAGAGTGTGACACTGTGAGATAGTGCCACATCTAGTTAAGGGCGCACATTTGAGAAACCGTTCTGAATATATTTAATACTTGTTTGTTCTTCAATAAACTTTAATCTTCGTTGCTGACTTTACAACCTGACCGAGACTCAGTATTTCACCAGAAGAAACCTGATTGGTGGCAACAGAAGAATAAAGCAATGGTGTACAGGTCAATAGTCCGTGAAACGACCGGGGGCTCTGTACGAACACCAAATCTGCCAAATGTGTGAGGGTTGTTGGGGTTTTTTAGATGTGGGAATTTTGTTGGTATTAATTCCTTTCCTCTTCTACACTTTTTCCAGCAAAAAAAAGAAAAAAAAGCTTCATGGCTGCTGTTTTCCCTCGAAGTGGAGAAAATGCAGATGTTGAGATTCCCTTGCAACAGTAGGGAATCAGGAAATGCCAACTTCCCAGTATCTTTTATTTTAGTTATTCCATGCAATATGCATCACATGATTCTACAGCCACAGAAACTAATTGGTACTATGTCCATCATTTTTTACAGTGCAGTCCTCCTATGCACCTCCTAGCTCTGGGAGATTATATACTTTCCATGCATAAGGTGCTAGGTTCAATCTCCAGCAAATCCAGGAAGAGTTGTGTTCTATAGACTGATGGGCTGGCATGGTATAAGGCAGCTCAGCAGTCGCTGCCACTGTCTTCAGTGGGGCTTAATCTAATGCAAGTGTGCATAAACTTTGCCAAATCTATTGTCCTGTGGATTGTAAAGTGTGATCCAGGCTTGAGTATCAAAGCATAGTTCAGGGCAACACTGGATTCATTACATTACATGAAGATATTGAATTAAACTGAAAACTGAGGCTCAGTTACTGACAAACTGAAAATGAGTAATGCAGTCCAGGCAGCCTATCACATACTGCTTATTGTGAAATAAAATGCATTTCGTTTTGCTCTGGAACCTGCTGTCATATTTGGGCTTTGGAGTTAATTTGCCTTTTGAAATCCATTGATAAGTTTGCCCTGCCTGAAACTTAATTTGCCTTTGAAAGGTTTTCTTCACAACGTTTTCAGTGCACTGTTGTGCCACATATGGGAAAACTCATTTCATGTAATCTGAGCAATGTACAGTGTCAGAACTGCTCTAACAGTCCAGTCCTTTCAAACCGCTTCAGCTATGTTGACATGGCAAGAGGTGTGCAGCTAAAACAGTGTTCTGTACCTGAGATGTGTGAGAGAGCTGGCTGAGTGTAAATCTACCACTTTGCTAGTGCACCACTGGCCCACATCTCAAACACTCACTTCTTGGGGAAGTAGGTGTAAAGCACAGTATCTTCGCTGACTTCCTTGCTTGTTTGAAAAATAACCTCCATTGTTTTTGAAGCTGTGCTGATGAAGGGGTCAGTCAAGGAGACATTTACTTTCAAATCCAACCACCCAACCCCAGTCTCACTAGAAAGCCAGGTGACAAGCTGGAAGAAAGCCAGGTGGTAGGCCTCACCATACCATGGAGCTTGTCCACATCCTCAGGAAAAACAAACGAACTTGACAGGCATCTTTCACCGTATAGTGAGGTGGGGCCCTATCCCATGTCCTGGACACTCCCCAGCCAAAGGAATGCACATGGTAGGTATTTAATTCTTTATTGTCAAAAGCAATCACTTACAGTAGTTTCTATGGGACTCTCAGTACACTTTCACAAAAGTTCTAGTGTCTAGCCAGTCATTCCCGGTCTGTGGCTTATAAAGCAGTTTCATCAACGGGAAGTCACACCCCCTTCATTGGCTTACGTACTCTCCCCCAAGACAATGGCTGAGACAATGGCTGTGTGGCAGCCACTGCTGCTCTTCCTTCTTCAATCCTTTCCTGGTTCTAGGAGTCAGTGGGGCAGGAGATGGTGGGGATACACTCAGTCCTCCACTTGCCTGATCAGCCTGTCCCTCCACCTCCACCAAGTTCGGTGTTCTGCCCTCCATCCCTTGATAGCTCTGACCCTTCCCCTGGCCTTGGTTCCTGTCTCCCAGGGAACAGTGGCCCCCATAAATTGCTAGCCGCCTTTCCCAAGTCAGTATCCAGTGCCCATGCATCTGACACTCAAATGTCTGAGTCCGACCAGTCCCTGATATCCCATCCAGCTATGACATCAGTTAATAAATTCCAGTTTTATATTGGGAAGACCTCATTTGCACTGTGTTCTTACTTGCACAGCAATTGGTTTGCAACAGATAAACATAGATTCATAGAATTGTAGAGTTGGAAGGAACCCCAGGGATCTTCTGCTCTGAGCCCCTGCAATAGAGGAACCTCAACTGAAGCATCCCTGCCAGATGGCCATCCAACCTCTGCTTAAAAACTTCCAAGGATGGAGAGTCCACCACCTCTCATGGGAGCTCATTCCACTTTTTAACAGCTCTTACTGCCATAAAGTATACTACGGAGCTGTGTGTATCTGAGCATTTGGATACATATACGGTGAACGCAATGGTGTGTGTGATTGGTTGTAGTTTTCCACCGCTGCATGTTGAATGTTCAGGGATGTCTGCCTTTCTTTCACCTTTGGCTTCCTGACCACAGTGCAGCAGGCACAATTGCTTTCTTGTTTGCAGTTTCAAGTACAAAAAGAAAAGGCAGAGAGTGAGCGGATGATTTGGTGGGGCCTTCCCCTGCTTCTCCTTAGTTCTTGTTTGTAACACTGGTAAGGACTTTCAGAAGATAGATTTTTCTGCCCAGAACAGCTGGATGTTTAGATCAGTGGGGCCAATAAATTGAAATAAAAAAGGTGTGATGCTGATCTGGTCTGATTCCACTTGGAGAAAGCAGGTGATTCTGCTGTTTTCTCTGCTGCCTGCAGGCATATCCTAAAGCAGTCATGTTCCAGTGGCTTTGTCTTTAATGTAAGAATAGGAGGAACACTATCTTTATTTCTAGAAGCTAGCCAAAGACATTTTGGTTGCAGTTCAATGCATTTGACTAGCTATAAATAACACATTTTTCTCCCCTTATATTTAGTTTTTATTTTGTAGGAACCTTAACCTCATGATTTATGTGCAAGACCCCCTCTTCCTCCCCCAACATGGGCTTTTATTTCTTCACTACAAATTCAAAACGGGAACATCAGGTGGTGGAATAATTGGCTGTTTTCAGCAGTGTAGGGGTAGCAATAGCCTGGAACCAAAGTGGGATTTCTAAAGCTTACCCCCTACTTTCTGCACATCACAGGCTGCAGCACTGTTTAAGGCATGAGTGATTATCTTTGTATGTGTCATGAGAAGCCAGGCTGGTGGTATTTAGATAAAGGCTGGAATGGTATGCTGCTGGAAGCTCTATATGCAGACAGGGATATATTGCATGCTGCTGCAGTGCTCAGTTTCTGTTGAGTGGCTAATTCTTTAGCATGTTGAAATCCATAGCACCGCACACATAGCAGTTCCCGGGTCTTTGTGGCAACGCATATGGTGATGCCACACACCACACTGAAAAGCAGTTGGGAGCCTGCTTTATAATGGCATGCTATTCCATACAGGTCGCCGTGAATCCACCAAAATTACAAGGGCTCTTGCTTTTCTAGCAGGTTTGGACACTTTTAAAGCTTCCAGGGTTGAACAGTGAGTAACAACAACACCAAAGTGCTTTCGGGCCATCTGAATTGTCCACCGAATTGGAGCAAATGTCAGTTGACTTTTCCACAGATTGTTGTTTGCTCTGATTCAGCAGCAAAGAGTAGGTTTTCCTGGGGAAAGCAGTGAGGCAAATGGAAAACCAGTTGAATCTGTGCTGAGAAAGCATATGGGGTATTTGCAAACCTGAGACCTGTGCTTTCTAGGTGGAGGACAAGCAGTGTGGATGTGCCCTCAGAAAAAGCATTTTCTGGTCCCAGCTGGAGATTGAACCTAGGAACTTTTGCGTGCTAACCATGTGCTTTACATGGGGTGTGGCCCATTCCCCTAAGTAGGTAGATTAAAAAAAAGTTCTGACATGTACATTGGTCTGAGTGGTGTGGATCAGCTCAGCTGATACTGGAATTCTAAACGATCAAATTCCTCAAGCATTGTTACCAAGATCTTGTGCAACAGGAACAGCAGTGAAGAAGATTCAGAAATGTTGTCTTTTTTTGCTGAAAAAACTTCTTGAAGATATCAGGAAACTCTTGGAAGTTTGCTCTTGATAATGGGTTGCTGTGGTCTCTATGCAGGCACCAGGCAATAATTACAAGCTCCATCCATCACATTATTCTTAACTTTGCCATCCCCCCCCCCAAAAAGCAATCTCCTTTCTTTCCTTCCTATGTACAAATAAACTTTTTCTTCTGACTCAACAAGGGCATTTTCTTAACTTTCAGCGGACACAATATAGGGAGCAGCATATCTAATCTTATATTTTCAACAACAATCAACAAAGTCATATTTGAACTCTGAACTTCAAGCTGAGATTTCATTGTCCTGGCGGTTTCCCACCCACTTCTTTACAGCACTGGCTGTGGTGTACTTTATGTCCTTCTAGGTTTCCTGTTCAAGCTGCCTCTCTTTCTGCATTTTTGCAATGTGACTCTTCTGTTCCACGCCTTGCCCCCTCCCCATCTCAGACTTCCCTCCATGGCTTTGCTGTCTTTGTCTCCCCTTCTCATTTGTCTTTCTCTCTAGCCTGTCTCTGGTTCACTCCCAAGGCCAGATTCATGAAAGGGATAACGGGACAACATTTTCCGTTGCTAGAATGTTAATGACAGGGTGGCCGCATTCCTCGCCAATATCTCTTCCCCCCTCCCCCTGTTCTTGGGAAAGGTGCTGGTAATGATTGATTTCCTGCGTTTATAGCTCACGGGCAGATGGAACAATAGGACAGCTAATAGTTAAAGAGTGACTGTTTGAGTTTGTTTTAGTAAAGATGGACATTCTGTAATTGTCAAGGGAGTAATTTGTTATCGGTTGAAAGCGGAGAATTGTATCTTTGCTTCAGAGTGCCCAGTCTGAAACTCAAGGCTTCTTTCCCAAGTTTTCTTCTTTGTGCTTGCATTTTCCATCCTGTTTGATTTAGGTTTTTGGTATGGATGCATCTGTGGTTCTGTGTCCAGTTTGAAAGCCCCTGGCCTCTTGTGAAGGGTGACAAATGGTTCAAAATTCTAGAACATATCTGAAGCATTCTGGAGGAATCAATCTACCTAGAATTTGATAATATTCCCATCACCTCATTTGCAGCATGGAATTATGCCCATGCCAGCACACTTCTGTTACAGTTCACAGTGCTTTATGTTTTAGCATATTGTTCAATATTATCCTCATATATTTGTATGTTTCTTGTGCCTCCAGGATCCTGGCATATTGTGCTGTGTCTGAAAGTACATATTAAATTTCCCTTCCCTTAACAGTTGTGCTGCTCTTTGCAATTTGTAGGTGGGTAGCTTTAACCACCCACAATCAAAACATTGGTCTGCATGCTCTACTTTACCTGGAGATAGGTTGTAGATCCTTCTCCATTATTATTATTATTTATTTAAATTGCACAGGATTTGCACAGCGATCACCCATGCATAAATATACCTTTTTCATATATATGGGAATGATGGGCTGGTCACCTTAAATGCAGTCTTCAAGTAATCTCAAGCATTATTACACGTGAAGGTGTGAAAACCTGCTGGTAGGTTCATTTTTCAAAAATTGTACACTGCTTTGGAAGCCTGGCTAAAGAGCTGCTCAAAGAGTGGAGGAATTTTTGTGTTTTTTAAGGCCAAGTCAGGTCACTACCAATAGTGGTAAATAAATGGAATACCTTACTTGATCTTAGAATAGTTTGATGTCTAAGAGATGGCTATGACATGGTGTCATGTATTGATGTTATGGGGCTCAGGAGCTTTGAATTAGGGTTTGATGA